TGGCTTACTCATTGTCATTACTTACCTAAACCAGTTTGTTTTCTGAAACTACCAAAAGTGAATCTTTTACTAAACCCAAAACTAGCTCGAACCTAAATGTATGTCCAGCCTAGTTGTACTTTAAAAATATGTCATTAGTTTGTTTACTGACCAATATTTAACTGACAATTGCATTGTAAGTGGAAGAAATCATTCTACTCTATCATTAAATCTCAGATTAAGATTTAAAGATGGTCATCGTTCTTATTGAATAATTCAACTTGCTAAAAATTTTCCCTCCATTTTAGTCTGCACCTTATGCTATGCTTATTTGTGAATGCATTTACTAATTTTCCTTATTTCGTTTCATTGTTTCAGCAAATCAATACAAGATTCAAATCGATAGCAGCAGTGGACAATCATCTACTTGGGGAAAATTGGAGGTGATTTTTTTAACCAAAGATCGTAATGAAACGTTCCAATTGACCAGTGAATCAGATGAGATAAAAGATGAATCCTTAATCCAAGGCTTAGTCGTGGCTCATCCTTTAGTTCGTAATATTACCTCAGCAATTGTTAAATACACAAAATATCGAGGATGGATTTACTCTGGAAAAGATTTCTGGGGAATTGATAAAATTGTATTAACAAATTCTGATGGCGAAATGTGAGTAAAACAGTGAAAAGAGATGAAAGATGAAAGGATGAAAAATCTTTTTTCCCTGTTAACATCATTTAAATTAAGTTATTAGACATAAGCTGTTGATATATTAATAGTTAGATTGATGAAGCAAGTGTGAAAAAGGTTGAGTTATGTTGATTAATTAAATTAAGAAATGCAGCGAAAAGTTTAAATCAATTTGCCATTGCAATAATAACATCAAATTTAGCAAGTTTAATCCATTTAGATATTTAAATGCATCCCATTCAATTTGTTAAATACATAATAAGTTACATTAAATTGTTACATGCAATTGTCAAGTCAATTGTCTCGTTCCGTTGTTCAAATTTAAACAAACCAAAACAAACCGTCATAAATAATCATTAAAATTAAATGTTGATTTATTACTAAAGGATAAACTGATTTAGCAAATTAGAATAATATGCTTCAAAATGATGTTTAAACAAACAATTTAGACGGTTTGTTTGATTGTTTCATTTTTCACTTCAAACTTAAAATTCCATTGGAAACATTCAAAGCTTTTCAAAATATTTATTTGAAAAGCATCTTAACCATCATCATTAAGTAATCATCTGATTTAATTCATTATCCTGCTAATATTTTTGTTTCTTTCTAATTCATGCAGAGCATTTCAATTAATCTGTACGATTTCTTTTGGCCATTAATCAACTCTGAGACGACTTAGCATACTAAAGTTTTGTCCAAGGAATTTTCTCAGATATTCTTTGCTATACTCGAGGTAAAAATCATTCTGGACATCGATTATGATGATATTAGAGGCCGAATCAAATGCATTTCATGATTTTCGAAGCAAGAAAGCCTTGAAGTTTAAAATCTATGACAAGCGCTTCATGATTTATCCATTTAAGTTGCAAGACATGGTTTTCTTACTCTGAAAATTATGAAATGCATTTTATCTGATGATCTTATCCTTGAAGTTTAGAAAATGAATATCTGAGAACTTTTGTCGGGTTAATTTCTATTCACTGAGTTATCTCAGAGTCGATTGATAACCAAAAGAAATCGTCCAAATGATATCAGCAAATCATCTTAACCATTAATATTACAATTGAAGTGAAAAGACAAAATAACAGTTTGTCTGACAATTAAAACCAGAATGAATGAAAGTTGAAAGTAGCATGGAAAAGAAGTTAAAACACGCAAAAAATTAGATTTGATTTATCTGTTGATCTTTTTTCTTCTTTTTTTCCATCCTCATCCTCATCTTCATCCTCCACCAACCACCAAAAATATCAAAACAGGATCTCTTATTGTGGTTACAATACAATCCTTGAAGACAGTATACCTTTACAATTGGAACTTGTTAAAGGTAACTGTACCGTTGAGATAACAGCTGATGCAAGTTACAACAATCGTTTGGCTCGATTGGTTTGGCAAGTTGTCTCTGGACCAAGTAAGGGTCGCCCACCTAAACTACTTTGGCGTCTATCGTTG